GCGAGCACGTGTGTATATGCAAGTACTATTTTCAGTCGAAAAGGCCTTGAACATCGTCACATTTTAATCCTGGTGTTGTTATGTCATCACTACGATGCACACCGCCACCTGTAACAAGCGAACAACGTCTAATGGTTTCCTCCTACGCGCGAAACAAAATTTGAACATTTACAATAACTTCGATTTATGGATTTATGTTTTTTTTATTATTTTCGTAGGTGAAAAAGAACAAAACCGACAAGCGTGTCAGATGATACTAGCAAAAATCGTCGAAGATCCTCAAAGCGGAACGTGTCTGAACGTATCCTACGCGGACGTGAACGGTCCGGTAGCCAACTATAACCCCACGGGTTCACCCTTCGCCCAACAAAATGCCGGAAGCGCGTTCAACGCATCCACGGCTAGTCTGAACAGTGGACTCAGTTCGGTATCACAAAGTATCATGCTCAATGGAGGACTCAATCTCAGCCTAAACCTCAACGCTCCGGGACAGAACGTCGGCACCGTAACAGCCCAGCTGCTGGACCACATCAAAGTAAGTGCAAAAAATTCTGTAAATGTATACAATACAAGTTTTTAACACTTGGATTATTTAGCTGCAACTGAGAAACACCGGTTTTTCCGACTCCCATATCGTCGAGATTTGCGCTGCTCTGTCCGTCTTGGCAAAATACGGCATTTTAGCTATGGGTTTGGGGTTGGGGAGCGCCCACACGGGGGCGTTGCCTGTTTCAAGTTACCTAGGTGTGATGGACCAAGCCAGCGCCGCCACAGCCAATACAGGAGCCGTCTTCGGGCCTATTGGGGGCCAGGTCAGTCTAGCAGAATGCCATTTGGGTAAGTCGAATATTGTTATTGATTAGATATTTATGATTTCGATAATTTTACAGGTACCACGTCCCCAACTCCACGATCCAATATAGAAAGGTATGATTCAACATTCGATCCATTCAGACATCAAAGTTCACCCGCAACAGCACCCATCTCAATCAACAATAACAGCTTTGGTCTAGGTACAGGTCAACAAATGGCTGTGCTAAGTAAAAGTCCCACTCCTGCGGAATTAAATGGTGCTAAAGACTCTAAAAATGTCGAAATTGCAGAAGTAATTGTTGGTGCTATTTTAGGTAATGGGAGTTTTAACATTCATCCATTCATTTAAGTTAAGCTTGTAGGCACGGAAAGGCTGAAAAAAGGCTGCTAATTTTGTTGTTTTTTTATTCAAACGATCAATGATAACACTTAAGAATAAAAAAATAGAACAGAATAGCTGAATAGAGTTACATTAAAAAATTTAATTGTTGACTGCCAACAATAACTATTAAGGTTTTTAAAATCCTTGTCACTGTACTCTGCAGTACGTATCCTTGTCACTTACAGTTTTTACTTGTACTTTGGAACACATTCCAGTATTGTTGTTGAAATGTATTTTTTGTAATTCGATTCAGTTTGCACAAGTAGTTTTTAATGTAATTTAAAAGGACTATCTATGCAACGTGTTAATTGATTTATATTTTTTAAATCTTTCTGCAATGATTATTCTAAGTGGCTAGACTATTCTAAGACACTTTTCATATAACAAATTTAGCAACAGCTTTTTCGTTTTCGCCCTTGCGTTTCGTTTTCGGTCGTGAAACTGAAAACAGCAAGCATTTTGGTATTTGTTACAGGTCCTGGGGGCCGTTCGTTAGTTGAAATTCAGCAGCTGAGCGGGGCTAATATTCAGATATCAAAGAAGGGTATTTTCGCACCGGGAACTCGCAATAGAATAGTGACTATAACGGGTAGTCCGCAATCGATAAACACGGCCCAATATCTAATCGAACAACGTATTTCCGAAGAGGAACTGAAGAGGGCAAGGAACAACGGCCTCGGTACTCTAACCATGCAGTGATGGCGTCAAACCGTTTTAAATTCACCCAGATTGTTCAGGTACACGCAACAGAGATTGTTAATGTTTTAGAAGAGAAAAAAACTAAAATAGTAAAAATGGTAACAAATTTTTATTTACGATTTAAATGTGTAATAGGGAGACATTTTAAATAGTTTGTTGTTGAATATTTTTAACGAAATGAAAGTTATTTATGATGATGACTCAAGGTAAATTGCGCAAGGCTGTTTATATACAATGTGAACTTTTTAAAAGATGTATACCTATTTACATAATTGTTTGTACTGTACCTCGGGGTAGTAATGGAAATTTTTTATATAGTCAATTCCTTGAAAATGTGATGTGATTTGTTAATATTTATTTTTATTTGTTTTGTTTTTATTATCTAAATATTAGACATTGTAAGGGTGAGTCTTGTATGGCCGTATCGTTTCTTCCCCATGCAAGGCTCGCCTCGAACAACAGTAAAATTTTCGTTATGTTCTGTTTGATGTAATTACAGAGTTTAATGATTATACGAAACAAATTTGAGGTAAATGATCTGATTTACAAGATTTAGAATAGTGCTATATTCTAATTGATAAAAAATTGTGATTCTTCATTCATTCACATCATTATCAACACTCTGATGTTTGTACCCATGCTTTGTTTTTATTTTATTTTTTTTGTACATATATACATAACTTTACTTTTGATAGTTGTTGAGGAGTCGAGCACGTCGAGGCGTGAGCGTTAGGTCATTAGAGATGTGTGCATATGTGATTGGTAATAGCAGTCATTCGAGCAATTCCTAAATTTCGTACCTGCTGAAGAACCTCATCAATATGACAAGCGACATTTGGCTGGCCAAAGAGCATATTGAATTTATTTAGATGAAAATATTTAAAATCCGTTACCAATCATGAGATTTTATTTTTGAGGTTTTGGCCGAAGAGGCATGACATTGTAAATAGTCATAGCGTTAGTCATCTATACTCACCCAACTCTGCTGTTATTCCTTCTATAGATCTATATATTATTATTAAAAAAAGAATATATATGAAGATAAATGTAACTAAAAATTATATATTGTTGTTATCGCATGTTGTTAATATTGTTAATGTTTGGACACTCGCTGCTGAATATTTAACAAAGCCGTTGACTAATCGACTTACATGCGGTTAACTTTGGAAATATTTTATTTTTAGATTTAATTTAACGGAGATCTATGCAGGTCATAGACGTGGTAAGCTGTGGCATTCCATTTAACGAAAAAAAACACGTACCATACAGAGTTTATATAGTTTTGTTAAGATTGTTTTATTTTTTTATTTTTCGATTGTTGACGGAATAGTTTAAATATTAAGATGCCGTTAACACAGAGCATAGTTTCATTGTCTAAATGTATGTGATCGCCGTAGTTTCATAATGTTGAGTCAAAGATATTAATATTCTATAAACGATTGTTCCAGATTTGTGCGCTGTAAATCAAAGATTTAACAAAATAATATTTGGTCTATATTTCATGTTAAAATCTTTAGATATTTAAGAATTGTTTCGTTTTTAGTTGTTGCTTCTCCACGTTTTAACATATGCCTCATACTTTGATATATTTAATTAAAAAACTGTTCTATATACAACATTACTGTTGCTGTGATATTCACATCTGTGGGGTTACCTGTCTCAGGCTTTGGATGCCCGTCATTTCACAAAGTATGTGCAATATTACATTGTCATTATAGTCACGTGGTTTGTCTGTTATCGTAGATGACGGGCAATCCACCGCTCTCGGGGGTAACTGTGAATTTAGCTAGAGTTCATATTATAATATATTGAGGAAAAATAATTATAATAGGTAGTCGAGTCACGAGAAACATCCCGTGCTTGCCATTGGCCAATCTTTATGTCACTATGGCATTAAAACCAGCGCCATTTTCCCGTTCTCTTCTACTAGCAGTGCAAATTAAAGTGACCTTTATCAGACGTAATTAAATAAGCAAACATGTTGTGACTTGTATTCACTTGTTTTTAATGCCAAAGTGACACTATCGTCGGAAATCATTTATTTTTCGGATCGGAGGCGAGCAAATAGTTTAAGTTTGCCCGTCTCAGGTTTTTCCAGATTCGATTTCTTTTGTATATTTTTATAGGGGTGTCGTGTGGGTCCGTTGGTACCCTTTTTTTTTAAAAAAGGCCTATATTGGGGTCCCGGGCCGACGCAGCGCTGTCTTGTAGCCATGTATGATTTATTCTAAGTTAGCTTAAGTGATTTAGTCATTTCGTGGTAATAATAGATTAGATATAAAAAATCCGGGGCTAAAGGTACCTTATGATTGTTTGTGTGTGTGTGCATGTGGCCGATTGGCAACATCCAAGTCCGACATTTAACGATTAAGTTACCAGTTTTGTGTAGGGGAAGTGTGTTTTCTTGCACTGTTTTAAGAAATGAGCAATGCCGATTTTTCGCACTTGAGGGTTCTGTTATGATCGATACGTAACAGTTCGTTAGTTAGTCAACAATTGTTTGTACAGTGATAATAGTTTACAGTTTTAAGAAGGTGACACGGGTTTATAGTTCTTTCAAAGTTGCTGTGGCAGTGTTCTTAGGTTCGATGAAAGGACCTAAGCACAGTGTCTATACATGTTTTTGTTTTTTCTTTTTTAATAAGTTAGTCCACAGCATTGTCAAACACACTATAATTCAATAAAATCCATAGTGCCATATATCGTATTATTCATGATTCCTCATCACACGCAACATTAACATGTCCATTTGGAGCACTCTATTGTGAAGCCTTCTCCATAGGACAATCATTCTGAATGTGATGGATTTTAACAAAATTCCAAAAGAGTGCTCCCCGGTCTTTGTACACTTACAGAGCTTGCATCATACAAAACCGCAGTAGTTCTTGCCTCATTCAACCTTTTTATTTTGTTTCTTATTTGTTTGTATTATAGCGCTTGATTCATTCAATTTTTTTCGTTTTAAAATTCATGATACTTTAGGTCCGTCCATTTTAAACTAATAATCTAGTCAAATTCCAAAATTTGTAATTTGTTGTTATTAAAACAATGTCAATATTGTACGTACACGAAACTAAATAAAGACAAGGCTGATTTAAACTATCACTTATTTTGCAAAACACATTTATTAAAAAGCATTAAAAAATATCAAATCTAGAATTTTTACAAACGCCAACAAATGCATAAAACCTACCAAAATCAAATCAAACGTAAGGATCAGGGCTGAAACAATTTGTACTTTGATTGAGCAATAAAAAAACCGTCTTTTGCGAATTACTTAGCAATTTCAGGAGGACAGTCTGGTTGATTACTCGGATGAGCCGCTCGGAACGCCGGATGGTTTTCCAATTCCCTATCAATCCTTAAAATAATTGGAAACGGTCGTAGGTCCACGTGAAACCTTCTCGCGTTGAAAACTTGTGGTATTAAACAACAATCCGCCTGAGTGATTTCATCCCCGACGCAGTATTTCCCCGCACTGGCCGAAAGTAACTTTTCCACAGCTCTGAACCCCCGATTAATCCAGTGTTGAGCCCATTCGTTCTTTTTTTCTTCCCCGACGTGAATAAGAACGACGAGATTTTGCAAAGGCTGGATTCCTGAGGCAATTACTTCGCAAATTTCACGGACCTGAATCAAAGTCGTTACAATCTATGGATAAAAAATCGTTTGATCTCCTGACCTTTGCACGTTTGACCACGTCGTGTGGCAGCAATGGCCTTTGGGGCCTCGTTTCTTCTAAATAAGCTAATATGCTTAAGGATTCCACCAAAGTGACACCATCGATGTGAAGAGCAGGCACTTGTTCCATGGGGTTGATTTCTCTGAACTCATTTGTATGTTGCTCACCCCCGGTTTTGATGAGAGATACGGGTTTGATGTCGTAGGGAATTTCTTTTAAATTTAGAGCTGAGAATTTGATTTTAACTCAAAAATTGAGAATTAGGAAATATATACTGTCTCACCTATTCGAACTCTCCACGAGCACGAACTTCGCCAATATGAATATAAAAGAGGCTAGAAATATTTTTAGAAAAATACATTCAGTGGTGATTTTTGGTTAGTAATTAATGGCCAGGAATTTTAGAAATTGATCCGATAAATAAGCAATGAAAAAAGGTACATACCTTACCAGACATTTTCGTTATTTTAATTTCGTTTAGAGATACATAGAAATGAATCGATCGTACGAAGCGTGCTCAAAAACTGAAATCAGCGACTGCTTTACAGCAACCCTACAATGAGTTGATTGTGTGCGACTGGTTTATTTGCAAACTTGTTCTATTGAAAGCGCAAACCCTTCGCTATTTAACTGGTTTTCGCACGCATTTTAATAACGAATTTTAATAAGATGTATCTAAAAAGTTGGATAAACAACATGATTCAGCGTTTTGTAGATGCTAATCGAGTGAACATGCACTTTTTTTTTTGCACAAAACTAGCTTAGTAACATAAAAAATCTTGTGATTCTAAAGACCAAGAGTCAATATGAACAAAATGCTAAGCTTATAAAAATTACTCTTTAGATAAAAAAAATTATAACACAGCAGGCTTAAGCTGTTGATTCAAAACAAAATTAAAATTGTCGGATTTATATTTCTAAGAAAGTGTTCCATTTGTTAGGAGTATTTTTTTATTTAATTTAAGCAATTAAATAGGTACCAGTAAATTAATCAAGCAACACCGGATTGTGGTTTTTGACACAATAAAACATCAAATCCATTTTTTGTCAAATTTTCTTGAAACAGCATGAAATAATAGTAAAAAAAAAGTCTAATTTGCCCCCTTACAGTGTGCTTTTATAGATAGCCATAAACGACTTCTACTGGAGACGTTAATAAACGTATTATAAACGCAAATTAGAATTTTTTTTACACTAATAACGATAATTATGGTTTTTATTTTTATAGGGAGTAAGCCTGAAATGTTGAATAGAAAGAAAAAGAAATTCATTTTTAAGTTTATTACGAGTAAATGAGGCAAGGGTGAGTAAAAATGTACGCATGTGCACATCTTAACAAAAATCATTCAAAATTTTGTAAAAATAGGTCAATGAACCCGCTCTAACCTCACTTATTTCATTCATAGTGCGAAAACTTCAGTTATCATAGAATATCATTGCCACGTCAGTGTTAGTTAATCGCATAATAAAAAAAAGTATTATTACCAGCTGTTTCGATGCTAATTGGGCCATATCTTGCACTGTTTTTATAAAAAAAACACAATCGCACTGATTCTAACTTTTACACGTCGAGCCTCGAGCCACAGATTGAGGGTTTAATCTGTGCTCGAGCTGGCAGTAAATAAAACACAGTCGAGTTCTGTTAAACCTGTATAATAGTTTGAAAATATATAAGAACAAAAATGGACCCAATGGAGAAAAAATTAGCAGAATATCGAGCTCGTAAAGCTCGGGAAGGAAAAATCAACGAGATCAAAGCAAAAACGAAAAGTTTCTTTAGTGATTTTTGGAAGAAGAGGCCGAAAACACGTGAACCAAAGGTAAGTTACTTGTTTTAAAACAAATACCAATTTTTGACACCTTTGTCCAATAGCCTACTGAGAAAGAGGTTTTGGTGCCCCACAGCCCCCCTGAAGACGAGTACCCTGAAGATGCTTCCAGTGCTTGTAGCGATGATGAGAGTATTAACTGTTTCTCGTATGTCGATTTATTTTATTATTTGCTATGGTTTGGACTTTGGATTGTATTGTATGTCATATTCATCGAGTTTCAATTTGGTACTGTTTTTTTTATTGTTTCTGCCATCGTTTTCATGTATGTGAACACACGTACAGGGCCTAAGAAAGTGGGGGAGGTTAGTGCATATTCGGTGTTTAATAAAAATTGTGAGAGCATTAATGGAACTTTAAAGGCTGAACAGTTTGAAAGAGAGATAAGATATGGACCTGCGGTTGTGCATTAGGGAAAAAAATAACAATATGCTGTGATATAAAGTGTTAAATTATTATTTATAAAAACAATAGTAACCCCTAAAATAGTGACTGAACAGTTAATCGTCTGAATTTTGTTCATTACGGCAGATGGGGGTAGGTACTCATTTTTTATTTCTTAATTATACACATTTTACTATTTCATTGTTGGCATTTATTTTAATAAATAATAAAAAATCTAAATAACATCTAACATCTTGAAAAAGTATCCTAACAAATAGTGGTTGTAAAAGGTAATCTCTACGGATTTATATTTCTTAAATGAAATCACATTTTGTATAATTTGTAATATGAGTAAAATATTGAAGGACTGTTATTACGTTTACAGTTTTTTAATCTTAATTAGTAGAAGGCAACTTTGGATAAAGAAGTCGCTAGCTAAGAGAGAAAACTTATATGCAACTCATACTTTATAGCTATAAATCTTTGTTCGAAGCGGTCCCTGAAAAAATTCAACATGTACCATTGCGGACCAAAAAATGTGACATCGAAAAGAATTTTAGAAAATTCATTAGCTTTAATGTCAAATATGGCTTTTCAAAATCTTCAAATCGTCCAAAATGTCTGAAACTGACAACTAATATGTCTGAATAAAAACGCGGTCAATTAATTCTGACTTCTAGTCTGTTCTAGACAGAATTGATTTTAATCAATATTTAACGCAAGGTAGGTATTCAAAAAATAGTAAATTTGACAGATAACTGACAGGTATAGACGTTATTACACATACGCTCATAAAATTTTTAGAGCACTCTTGACCACGGCTTTATTCAGACACTGTTAGATTAGTGGCAAGTTTTACACTTAATATCAACGGAATGGCAATGATGTCTCATTTTTTAGTTTTGATAGCACTCGACGATTAAATTAACACAATGCATTTTTTATCTTAAAGAGAAATTGGACGAAAATTACAACACCGTTTCTGGTTGGAACGTATTTGGTTGTGGCAACAATATCATAACACCAACAGCCATCAAAACATGCCACAGACTATGCAAATACTTATAATTATTTGACGTTTCCAGAAATATGAAAATAGTCAGCCCGACACAAACCACGAAGACTCCCAACGGTATAAAAATATACAAATACCTCTTGTGCAAAAACAACTGTTTAACTCTCTTCCATTTTAAAAACCAATTTATCGCTATGATTACAAGACCCGAAACAACCGGCAAGAGAAACCCCCAAATTCCAGTTTTATTTATAGTCGTCGTGAAAGACAATATAATAGCGCCGGTTATATGACACATAGTCGGCCAATAAGACGGCAAGTCAGCAATTGCGATTAATGTAACCCAAATAGCCAGAAGGGCACAGTAGAAATCGGCGAACTGCAGCGCCCCCAAGCGAGTGATACAGAAACTAATTAAATTTTCACCGGCATCACAGGCGTGGTAGAAGGTCGAGAAGAAACAAATTGCGAAATAAACGATAGCTTCGACGTAGTATTTGCGTCGATATGCTACATACACCGTTGGCAAAAACATCAAATTGCTGAGGACTAACAAAAGAAGCTCGATGACGATCATATAGTATGGAGTGGCTTGAGAGTCGTCGGAGCAATCCCAACCTGGAACAAAAAACAGTTTGTAGACACACCCAAAGAATCTTCTCGCTATTTACCTCTGTAATTGTCTGTGCACACACAAGTAGCATACACAACGCCATCGCAGACCATAAACATGCATCTTCCGTGTTTACCGCAATTGTTAGCACACGCCGTTGACGAAATATCGAAAAGTACACTAGAATTGCACTCTTTTTTACTCCTGAGACAAGGCCCATCACAGTCACATTTCGCACAACCGTTGGAATTGACAACTTCAGTCTTGCAGTCCAGTGAACAATTGTTGCAAGTCTCTTTGTTCACACAAATCGCTTGGCAGTCCCTGACACACCCTTTGAACTTCTTTTGACAATCATTAGGACAACTGCAAGGCACACATTCGCCACAGAACAATTTGAAGGTTGCATACCAAACCCCCGATTCGGGATAGGGGATCATCATAGAGGAATTATCACTAGATTTACCCACTATCAGGGGAGCCACATTATCAGTATCGTCATAATTGCACAAATTGGGCCAAGTTGGCAACTCTGGAGCCTCAGGCCGAATACAAGCAATGATTTTGTTTTCTTCGGGCTCGGCCTCGATTATTCTCTTGATTTTATTGATGCGTGGTTTGAACGCCAGGATAAATTGCAAGGTCCCCCCAATATCCGCATGTTCCCGGAGCCTAAACTGAAGCACTGCTAATTCCTTATTGGTCAAATTAACAGCAACATTTGATGAAATCGTAAATTTTTGTCTCAGTTCGTATGAATATGAGAAGCTTTCAGTACTAGATTCCCTTACTAAGTCGTACTGCTTGTATTTGATCACTTTCGTGATTTGATCGCTATTGAATATTCGCCAAACTGAATTATTAGACGTCCTTTCAGAGTCTTCTGCGAAATACTTGAGAGTGAATTTGAGACTAGATTTACTTTCGGTAGGTGAAGCAGGACCCTCAAAGAGAAATTCGATGTAATGCCAGTTATCCTCTTCCGTGTTGAAGGGAATAGTGACAGACTTGTCGATAAAAGAGGACTCTATTATTTCAGTCTTGATTGTACTGTTTTCAGATGGGATGGAACGGGATTGGATACGAATTATAAGACGAGTTGCAGTCTTTGCGAAGGAGATATTGTCTACAAGGAAAGTGGCGTGTGTAACGAATTCGGGGATGAAGAATGTATAAAGAATGCTGTGCGAAGTGAAGGTTTCGACGTTATATGAGGCGCCTTCTACGATCTGGCCGGCGCTAGGACGTCGTTTTATGTATAGGGTGGTTTCCACAAAAGCGTAGCATTCCGGGGTTAACTCTAAACAGATAAATTAGCTTGAGTTGTGGAGTTGCAGTATTACCAACCTGGTGGTTGGATGGACTCGTGCTTGGGGTCATTATATGGCAAAAAAGCGGTAATAAAATAACACCCTGGATCGGGTGACGTTAAATTCAAGTATTTCACAGTTTTGTCACTCATCAACTCAAGGTAAAAATAATGTGACCTTGTAATGTTTTTAAAACTGTCTGGGAATTTTGACCCGTCTGGATTGATCACCGGCAAAGATTTGTGTTTCATGTACATCAATACTTTCCGTGGGTTACAACCTGCAACCATTTATTACAAAAATAAACAACTGATATTTAAAATTACCAAATATCGAGGCCTTGGTCTCATCTGCCGTAAATTTAAGTGATGCAAAAGACACCTCTGAAGGGACTTCTACGTGCATCACGACGACATCGACGTAGCCCCCATACTTCTGCAGGTAGGATGTCCGAGTCTTGGACACGATTTCCAAATTTTCGTCCTCTTGGCATTGTATTGTTGGGTACAGAAGGATTAAAATTATCCATTTCATTATAGTCTTGCTGGAAGGTGAGGAAAACAAGGCTTTAATTGCAGGAAGTTGCTTTATGAGATCATCCCACTCGATGTTTCTTATCAACCAACGCACACAATATTTAATTGTTTAAAATGAATGGATTTATTTTTAAATTTTGGGCTCGAATGTTGCCTTTCATTGGTCGGCTCAATAGTTTATTATTTGTTTGTTTATGCCGATAGATGACAAAAAACACTTTGAGGTTAGGAAATCAATCGACTGTCAAAAGAAACGTCAAAAAGATGGAGACACGTTGCCCAACTTACAAATTTCATCTCCGTTTATTAACATTTATTTTATAAAATTACTTACATTAAAATAATTATATTGCAACTTTTTATAATTAACTGGTTAGAATAGAACGATATATGACTCAAAAATAAAATTAATTTTGTTTGTGCCAGTCTTATCTCTAAAACATTTATTCCTTGAAGGGTTTATCTCTATTACATGTTATTACATTATCAGTTAGAACGGTTGAGAAGTTTGAATAAACAAACATTACTGGATAATAATTTTTAATATTGAAAAATACAAAATTCTGTATAAAATCATTAAAATTCCCACGTATCCAACCATTTCAGCCCATACATGGTAGAATTGGGCTCGTTGGCATTGGAACCGCTCATTCCATATGTTAATGGCGAAAACAAATAAAAGCTATAAACCACTGTGGACAACACCAACGCCACCAATGTGTGATAAACAACATTGCCAGTCTTTTCTCCAAAAAAATTTGGTATCTCTTCCAATAAATAATCAATGATGATACCTATAATTCTATAAAATAAGTCATCACAAACAAAATTCGCCTCACCTGTAACCATTGAACTAAAAAGTAATGCCGGAAAATAATGATGGAAGTACAAAACGCGTCCCATTGCCCAAAACGGCACATAATGTAAAAGCCACCCCAAAAACAGCCACGCGCAAGCCACCAATTTCTCATTGTGAGACTCAGAAAATGATTTTATGTAACCTCGCTGTTGCCGAATCGCATTAGCTCCAAAAACAAATACGAATACTAACAGGAAAATTAAATTGGCCCACCAAATGACCGGATTTCCTAATAAATACACCCTGTAACTAGAACCAGAGAAGAATTGGCCCTAAAATTTCAATTACAAATAAAGCATCGAGATGTCAATCCCCCTACTCTGTAATTAATAGGCCACTGCCACGGCCTCGATGTGATTTCCCCTTCTTTCGGCTTCAACCCGGCATTCCCTTGAAACATCACAGCGTGAGACTCGAGAAACCGTTCAAAAAAACTTGGCGCATACACTTCGAAACTCACATTTGGCACTGGAACACAATTTTCAGATTGAATTATCTCAAACAGTGGAACGAACATTTTTCAAAAATATTCTCCTCGACGTTCCACACACCGTGAGGATCTCTGAGATTTGGGTTGCACGAAACCTCCTGTTGCTCGTATGCCCATTTCGGGAGTTGTTTGCCACTTGTTGTTAGAACGCAAGATTGTAAATAATGGACGAATTTTAATTTGCTGCTGACTGCAGTAACTTCACTGCCGTCTTTGGCCCCGATAACACTGATTTTCCAGACGTCGTTAGCGTCTCCAGTTCCGTTTTCGCCATAACCGGTCACTTGGTAGTGCTTTTTGGTGATGGGGGCTTGTTCTTTGTGCGAATGGAGGTTGCGTCTGGTTGGGACGTGTTCTAGACGGATTAAATCGCCACTGCGGACGATTGTAATGCCGGAAGTGTCTTCAGTGTTGTATTTTTTGATCAACCACTTGTTGTTATCGTCTTTGTGGGTGTAAGTGGTGATCTAAGATGACACTTTAAATGGTGATTTTGTAAAAAATTCTACATATACTACCTGTTGTTGTCTAGCTCCAACATTTTCTGGATATAGATGGTAATGGGAATGTAGGTACCCCCCACCGGTCCGGTGGTTTTTTAGTGTGATTATAGCCCCGTAAGCCACTTGGCGGGGCATACTTGCATTATGGAGACTGTTTCCTATTAATTGAGACTGAAACGCAGAACTGTAGAAGCCATCACCATTTCCGCTTCTGTTTAATACTGTTAAATGTATGTAGAAGAAAGTTATATAAAGGAGTATAGGCCAAACGATCAGGCAAATTCCTCTTGCTAATAAATGCTTAACTGTATCCATCTGTGGCATAAAAAACCAAACAAAAACTTTACAAATAATTTATTTGAGGAAACATTTAAATCACAATTAAGTAACTAATACATTGGCGGAATGAAAATTATCCTTTTTGTCCTTATCTTTTTTGAAATAATTTCCTAACACAATTCCACAGAACAAAATTAATCCAACTTGCGCATTCGATACAAATTTATTAGAACAATCACTGGCATTGTCAATGTTAAGTGTTAATAATTGGGAGATAAGATGTGTGGCTACTAGTGCAGTAGAGGCATAGTATGGCCACGCCATCTCATTCATGATCCCTGAGAGTACAACCCCTCCCATCATCACAGCACTAAATCCACTCAACCACAACTTCGTATCCCTATCAAACTTAAGCGCTGTCGACTTAATCCCTAATTTATAATCATCAGCCCGATCTTGATGCGCATAAATCGTGTCATAAATTATAGTCCAACACACTGACGCTAAATATAATGGCAAGCAAACTGGCAAATCGACGTGGCCTTTGATAGCACTGTACCCCAAGAGGATGCCCCAATTGAACGTCAGTCCTAATACCAACTGGGGCCAATACGTGAAACGTTTCATTAGAGGATAACTTATGACTAGACCCATGGAACTTGCTCCCAGGAACACACTGTACCAGTTTAATTGTAACAAAACTGCCAAACCTAGGCTTAACTGACCAGCAAGAAAAACCCAGGCGGCTTTCATGGAAACATCGCCGTTGACTAAAGGCCGGCCTTTGGTTCGCGTCACCTTTGAATCGATATCACGGTCCCACATGTCGTTGATTGTACACCCCGCACCTCGCATAATAACAGCCCCCGTTCCAAATAAGGCCAGCATGTAGAGATCGGGGAAACATCCAGGTGAGGCCGCCGAAGCTATGCCCCAGCCGCAAGGCCAGAATAGTAGCCATGTGCCGATTGGTTTGTCGAGTCGCATTAGTTTTAAGTAGGGTTGTACTGATTTAGGGGCACGATCAACAATTTTGGCGGGAAGTGTCTCATTTTTCTTGTCGAAACAAACTGTTGTCGTTGAAATGCAGTGGATATTTGGAGTTAAAATTGTCCTAACCTTAATTTTCGGTGCACGGAAATTTACCACCTTGATTAACGAATTTGCAGTTCTGAGAGCTAACATTATGCGCCAGCGGTGGTAGAGGTGCGATTTTAATAAGAATTTCAATGTGTTAGCATTGTTTTTGTGGTAAAATGAGTTTTCTGTGATGACATAACCTTCATCATATGTCAACTGTCAAAAATATAACCTCAATTTTTCAAAAAAAAAAAAATTGGGCTTAATCTATTTTATATCCGTTTTTTTCCAGTATGCTAATTTCTGTTACTTACCACTGGTCGTGACATATTTTCTAAAATATTCCATAAATCAGCAATGGTCATAAGCCCCACTAGTAGTACCACGAAGAGTCCCACAAATTTCACAGATATACAACACGCCAACATGGTCCCCGTAAAAATCAACCAAACCCACCAAGTCGCTGTAAATTCTGTGATTCTGGGTGATGAAACTTTCACAGCCCCCAAAACTGAACCCATGATAAAACATAATAAAATGGGGTCCAGAAGTATGTATTGGGTTAGAGTAAGAAGTCCCACATCTGCAAATATTTCTTGAATATTACTGGTCCTTTGTGGTTAAATTATAGTTACCAAAAAGTATCAAAAGAGATGCAAAAGTGGCTGCTGTGATTGATTGGGTCATCTCATCAACTGCCAGAAATGACATTGGGACCAAAGTGGCCCCCAAAGCTGTACAAAACTGTTGATAATTATTAGTCAATTGTAAAAAAGTTTGAATTTACCACACGCATTCCAACGTAACTAGTATTTTCGTATTTATCACCTGGTTTGTCAAACGCAAACGTACCATCATAACCAGTTAAATAACCAGAAAGTCCTATTAACATCTAAAAATTGCAATTGTCAATATTTTTGCAAAAAATTCCGTTTATTAGTACTTTGCCGAGAGGCGGATGTACATCAAAAAAGAAAGTTCTATTGATATACCAACTGCCCATTTTTCCAAAATGGGTCTCATCCCAGCTAAGGATATTAAAATTGGAATTTTCTTCTAACAAATAAAAAATACTTACCAGACATGGTCCGGTTCTGCTATTTTATAAAACCTCGTTGTTACAGTTAAAACACAAATAATACCAAAAATTAACCACCAAAAACTGTTTATGAAAATTTTAATTAAATTAGGTTTTTCTAGACTTACATTATTTACCTTTTTTGTAAATTTGCACCTTTTTGAGCCATTTTCACGATAATTCATGATGTGAGCATACTACACTCAAGACGAATAATGCAATAACGGTACTACTGGACACGTTATGTCTCCATGAAGAGAAAGTAGCCAACAAGGCACTTCATAAATTACTTCTATATCTGCTTCACGATTTAATTCAAAACACTTTTGTTGTCTGTTAACGCAAAATAATGGGTGCAGTGAAAGAAAAATCAAATAAAAACGAATTTAAACCATAAACAATAACATAACCTCATTTCATTTAAAAATGTCAAACACAACTTTTCAAAATTGACGGATTGCGGAATGGGAATAATTAAATGGGATTGATAGGAATAACGAATTCACGATTTTCCGTACTTTTTATGAAATGTGAGAGAGGTATGTGTTTTAAAAAGGAAGGTATGTTCAAGTTCAACTAAATAATATCTAAAATTATTTTGTTTAATAGGTATTAAATATTTTTCATTTTTATTTTTCCATCGAAACTTGAATAATTAAATCAAAAATGAGTTTTGGAAAGGTTTTTAAAATTCTAATAAAGAGAAATAAATACGTTCCCGTTGGATAAGTCTCAGTATGAGTGGAAAATTTATTGAAATTAATGTAATAACAAATGATTCATTTGGTAGGTACTTTTATTGTACTCGAACGCATGAAAAACCACATAAAGCGACATTGCTCTGACATTTAGCGGTCGTGGGGTCAAATGGGGTTAAAAATGCATGCGCTGCTTGCCCCTCTTCGATTTCTCATGTAAAAAATAAAAAATCAACGAAATTCACCTGCATTTTTACCTGTCTCGTCAAGTTCCGATTGTTCGTCGGTGAGCGGCTCCACGCATGCGCATTCCATCACTATCAATATAAATCGCGTGGGACGCCATTTTGATATAGTGCTTTGTGTACGGCATCATCATTCTCCCCAAAATGAAAACTTTCGATACATTGAAATAACAAAGTGAAAAGTGTGCGCGGGGGTCGCAAGGTAAGTAAAACCTCCACTTGTTCAATATATCTCCCAACTTGGGGCTCACCCAAACAAATCGGACCGATTTCCGAAACAGTGCATTTTAAAAGCCGAAAATTGTTTGTAAACAAGCATTATACTTTTCGTGTCCCGAAAAAATATAAATTCGGAGAGTTTTATATCGAATTCCTATAAAAATACCACGAAATAATTGCCCAAATGTGGCTTTATTTTGATTTTTGACAAGGCGGGAAGTTCGGGACGTCAGAGAAATCGCCTAAAGGCGCGTTCACATAAGGTCGATTTTGGCGCGTCGCGATTTTCTGAAAATTTTCTTCTCTCTACATGTTGGTCTTTTCCAGCCAGATAAATGGATTGGAAAAATGTGGCTCCGCAGTGAAAAACGGAAAAACTTCCGCGCGATCTGCCTCAACAGAATTCGGAAAGCGCGAAAAAGTAAAATCGGACACAAACAGAAGAAAAACGAAACGCCCACTCTGTCCGACGAATGCAAAGAAAACTTTCAGGCCCAAGTGGTGCCCGAGTTCAGCCTCGCCGAGGGCCCCACTCTGGAAACGGACCTGAAATGTTTCGAATACTTTGAGGCCAACAACGCGGTTTCTTATGAGAAAACATCACCAGAGATTGTCTTAAATTCCGATCTTCCGAAAGAAATTGAATATTCCAATTTCAACAGTGGGCTCGCGATGGCTTGCGAGGAGACCCTCAACCATACAGATTATGCTTCAAGCATGCAGTTTCATGTCACTGATAAAAAGGCATGCGATAAGTACAATTTTGATGTTTTCTCAGAAAAGATCTGCGAAAGCATGTATTACGAGTATGGGTCTTTGAGAGATGATTATCAAGATGTTCAGTTTGACGTTAACGATTTGAATAATGTTAACACCCAGGAGTTCACCAATATGCTGGACGAGGAGATGGCGCAAGGCAACATGGGCAACGTCGTCTACGATTATACCACGCTGTACCCAGTTTCTATACCAGAAGGTAATTAACTGTTCATACAAAAATTCTTTTCTATTAAAAAAACACTGGATTAAGTAGAGATAAAAATTTCCTAAAAATTGAGTAAAAAAAAACTACTGGATTAAGTAGCGATAAAAATTTCCTAAAAATTGAGTAAAGCAAAAAAATAAAAAAATCAGCTTGTACAGCGTGAGTCATAAACGCCCTGACCGATTTTCCAACGCAACCCAAAATACATTTTCAGATACCACTATGCCTTAATTGATGAACCGTTTGAAATTTTTCAAAGTTATCAACATAGATACTGTGAGCTCTAACATTTATTATAAATTGCATTTTTGTGGCATTCTCCAGATACCAAGATCATTTTGTTTGTTTAAATACATTTTGAATTCAAGGGAATAAAAAAGTGGAATTGATGACTATCAAATTGAATGAATGACATATCAACAACTAGTTTGATTTAAATTAAGTAATCTAAATTTTTCAAGTATAAAAGCTAAGTTGTCTTTGAGAATGTATTTTGGGTTGCGTCTGAAAATCGGTTAGGATCTTTATTATAAATAACTCACCCTGTATAAAGAAAAAAAGTTGAAGTCAAAAAATTTAAATATTGTGCATTTGTGACTGTAAAGTGGAAGTTATAGGGCCAAACAATTCTAAAGAGAGAATTAGCGAAAGTTTATTGAATTGGAAAAAATTCAAAAGTTTGTTTGAATCGCAAAGTATCATATTTATCTGAGCGATAAAAAGGCTGCCTCCACTTTTATCATCGTAGGAACTCATAACAATTTTATTAATGTTTAATTACAACATTCCATTCAAGCTGTTCATTTCTTTACCATTTACTTACTAACATATTACGTTTTCTAAAAATTTCAATATTTTTTGCTTTTTTTATTTTAACAGAATATCGTACCTAGTTTGGAAAAATATTCTTAGGTTGCCAAATACATTTTTTACTAGTTTCATTTTTACTTCACTAATCGTTAATAAAGACTTTATTTAGAAAATTTCCTTTGCAAAGGTCACATGATTTCAAATATCACCCCCGAGTCTGAAGACCGCCTCGACAAACAACCTGAACACGTGGAAGTCGAAGACACATGGGAAGCTTTCGATCCCTACCTTTTTATTAAACACCTTCCTCCTTTAACTTTCGACATGCGTTCTAAATGCCCCGCTCTCCCGTTAAAAACCAGATCCAGTCCAGAATTCAGCTTGGTCCTGGATTTGGACGAAACTCTAGTTCATTGCAGTTTACAAGAACTCTCCGACGCAAGTTTTCACTTTCCTGTCCTCTTCCAAGACTGTTCCTATACGGTCTATGTCCGCACCCGCCCTTTTTTCCGTGAATTCATGGAAAAAGTTTCTCAAATGTTTGAAGTGATTTTGTTCACTGCATCGAAGAGAGTTTATGCTGACAAATTGTTAAATCTGTTGGATCCAGAGAGGAAGTGGATTAAGTATCGATTGTTTCGGGAACATTGCGTATGTGTCAACGGCAACTATATTAAGGATCTTTCAATACTGGGAAGAGATCTTTCCAAGACTATTATTATTGATAATTCACCACAAGCCTTTGGTTACCATGTAAGTTGTAGGAGACTTTTTAATAGCGTTGTTTACTTACATCGTGTTTTTTAAAGCTTAATAACGGCATACCGATTGAGAGTTGGTTCGTGGACAGGACCGACTCTGAACTTATGAAACTGTTACCATTTTTAGAAGATCTTGTGCAACTGGTAAGTAAAATATTTCGGATCGTTTGATGAGAAACATTCATTCATTAATTAATTTTACAGAAAGAGGATGTCCGACCACACATTCGCAACAAATTCAAACTATTCAGTTACTTACCCCCTGATTAATTGGCAGTTGTAGTTGCATAGACAATCGCATACCCACATAATACTCTGTTTTTGTTTTCGTTAAGTCCCATTGCGTTGAAGTACTGACTGACGTCACTGTTGTTTCTTTAAATTATGACGCAACTGGAGGTGCCTTTCGGAACGTCTTTTGTAGATTATTTTATAAGTAGCCATTTTTATTCAAATGTTGTCTTTTGTCAGTGATTTAATTGTGCAATATGAAAGAAATTATTACAATTGGAGGTTGTTTTTTAAAATTGAAAAAAAAACCCTAGATTGTATATAATTATGAATTGTTGGTCAGTATTTTAAGAAACAAAAAGTATATTAACAAATTAGAGAGTATAAAAAGTTGAATTCTTTTTATTGTATCACTTTGTATATAGGGATCAAAAACTTAGGAAAATTCTCTTGCCATGTAAGGAAAAATATATGACCATAGAATAGTTGCAATTTATGCACAAGAGTATTTTATTTGTTGTCTGTTATATTTTTTTAAATGCGTATTATACGTAAACAGGGTCCAGTCACCCACGTTACGTTGTAGAAAATATTTTTTTAAGTTGTTAATTTTTGTTCGACTGGGTCCTCAAGTATTAATTCTAAATGTTATATGTTTTATATTTTATAAGAATGCTTAGCATGATATGCTAAAAACATTGTGAAAATGTTCAAGTTCCGCTGTACTTATTTAGAAAAACTACCAGGCACTCGTTCCGACCAGCTACACTTTTTCAACCATTTGTTGATAGTTCTGTAAATTAATGCTTTTTATAATTTACTCATTGTGCTACAAAGTGTTTTCTTTGTTTCCACTGTTATACTTAGTTATTTTTGTAAGATTATATCTTAATAAATAAATATATCTCCGTACACATTAAAAACTGTATTTCACTAACGTCCATATGGATGAATTTGGGTGGCACTTTTGATGTTAGTCTTTATAGCAGAGGGCGCTTTATTCATGGTTTGAGTACTGGGTGGCATCTGTCCTTGCCCAGGAGTGCCCCCAGGTCGTCCTTGTGGCGCTACCATCATCCCTCCTGACGTCGGATTAGGCTGTCCGTTGGGATTCGTCCCCATTTTAAGCCCTTTCCCCATCCCAACAGCTGCCACAAGAGAATGAGTGTCAGCTACACTGGAGTTCTGTTGAGTGCTTCCCCTGGCTGAAGATTCAACTTCCCATTCTTCTCTCGCTTTGCTTACAAGTTCCCAAACATGAGAAACAACTTTCTGATAAGCAGCAATTTGTTTCTGCAAATTTTTATTTAAAGAAATGTTATTTTACATAATTTTATAACACACCTGTGCGTTCTCATATGTTAAAGTTGACGCTTTATGTTCTAGTTGCATCATTTTATTTTCAGCCAAGGGTTCCAGTTTAGTCCGAAGGTAGTCTGGGACTAAATCATGGGCAAAAGTTGTGACTCTGTGTTCAGTCATTTGAGCCAATTGTTCGTCTCTCTCGGGGGACAACATAAGAGGTAGTACTGTGAGATTTCTAAGGGTCGGACATTTATCATGACTTAAAACCTTGGAAAGGGAGGTGAGTTGACCGGACATAAGGGCGTAATTGTCCAAAAATGTGGGCCAGTTGAGAGTCTCATATTCATTCTCTACCTTGTAAATCATTGAAGCTATCGATGATTTTAAGTCGTTGACACGTTGGATTATGGAATCTAGTGATGATTCGAGTTGTTTTTCTTCTCGTTGCATTTTGTTTTTTATATTTTTATAAAATAATGTTTACAAAAACATAACCTTAACCACAACAGACAAGTCGACAAGTGCCGTCGCTGACACCAACTATGAGATTCAAAAGACTCTAAGAAAGTACATACTAAAGAATTGATTTTTTTAAATTTTAAATTAGTTACTTAAATATTTTCACACAAAAAGTTTTTTGTTCTTGTTTGTTGTATTTATTGTAAAAATATGTTTTAAGTAATTATTTGATTATAAATATAAAACAACGAAGTCGATAATGCAGGTCACTCACCTGTCATCCTGTCAGTATAGTGCCGTTTGTTGATCTACAAATGTTAAAATCTACTTACTTATTAAAATGCTACGTGTTTAATGTAAACGATTTATTGTGTGATAAACAATAAGACATCCACAAAATGTCTAAACATCCGGCAGTGATAGAAATCAAATCATTATGATTTTGCAGGTAAGATGTTGCCCCACTTTTTCTTTAACTACTTATCGGTTTTTATAGGATAGGAACACTTTAGTAAGATAATAGAATAACATGCGACTGAAACGCACAAACTTTATACTAGGAATATGTGTAATAACTTGGGCTTTAGTGTTATATTTTGCATTCCTGTCCCATCTAACAAGTAAAAGTGAACCAAATGGAAACGTTGACAAACAAATCATGATACTGGAACAAGGCATATCAGAACAGTTTAAAATAAATAATGACATGATCCATGACGCTAGGAGGTTTTTACAAATAAAAAGCCAAGGAGATGTTAGCAAAAGTAGTATAAAGGATTTTCAAGACTTTAAATTACCAGTACTAGTATTTGCGTGCAATAGAGTTGGTGTCAGTAGGTGCTTAGATAGGCTTTTGCAATATAGACCAGATCCTGATAAATTTCCAATAATAGTGAGCCAAGTAAGAAAGATTTATTTCCTGATGTATTAATACTGATAAAAAAATCACAGGACTGCAATCATGAGGAAACAACCGAAACTATTAGAAGATATGGATCTCAAGTGTCACTTATCCAGCAACCAGACCAATCTGATATTCAGGTACCCCCTAAAGAAAAAAAATTCAAGGGATATTTCAAGATAGCGCGCCACTACGGCTGGGCCCTCAACCAAATGTTTTTTAATTTTAATTTTAGTACTGTTATTATAGTTGAAGGTTTGCCTAATTGTATCGCAATGAAATTCATTTTACAAACCATTTTCAGACGACTTGGAGGTAGCTCCAGACTTCTTTGAATATTTCCTTGGTACTTACCCAATTTTAAATCGTGACCCGACCCTTTGGTGCATTTCCGCCTGGAACGATAATGGAAAGGAGGGTCTAGTGGAGGAAAATCACCCAGATCTGTTGTATCGCACTGACTTTTTCCCGGGTTTGGGTTGGATGTTGACAAAGTCCTTGTGGCTGGAATTGTATACCAAATGGCCGAGGGCTTATTGGGACGACTGGATACGCGATCCATTGCAGAGAAAAGGCAGGGCGTGCATTAGGCCAGAAATATCGAGAACGAGGACGTTTGGCAAAGTTGGGGTTTCAAAGTATTATTTATTTTTTTTTTTTTTGAAAATATTTAATGAAATATTGTAGTGGGATGTTTTTTGAAAAGCACTTAAAATACATAAAACTGAACGAGAAGTTTGTGCCTTTTACCAAAATGAATTTGAGTTATTTATTAAAGGATGTGTATGATAGGGATTTTATTCGAGATGTTTACCAAAGCGTGATAGTCAGTTACCAGGAACTGAAAGGAGGCAAAATTGCTCACGATGGACCTGTAAGGATTGTTTATCGCTCAAAAGAAGAGTATAAATTAATCACGAAAAAATTAGGACTCATGGATGATTTTAAAGTAATTTTATTATCATTTGTAATCCATGTTATCATTTTTAATTTTGTAGAGTGGGGTTCCTCGCACTGCATACAAGGGTATTGTCACTTTCCATTATAAGGGACGAATGGTGCATTTAGCTCCCAATTTGAATTGGAAAGGTTACGACTTGACGTGGAGCTAACCTTAAGATTCCTAGTTACTTACACAATTCCATGTTTGATATTAATATATTTGTTGTTTTATGTTTGCACATTCAAAATGTGAACTGTTGGAATTTTAATTTTGTTCTAATCAAGTTAAAAATTGTGATAAAGTTTTTAATGGCGACTTGTGAGGTAGGCTGCGATAACAAATGGCAGCATTTGAAAGTAGCCCACTAAAATATGTATAAGTTCAAATATCGATTGCTCGATAAATTGTTATACCAATTTAAGACAAGTACATGGAAAGCGAGCGAGTTGTCAATATTCTACTATATTCTAAAAGTTTTTGCATATAGAATACAGAAGGCGATTACATAAAATATGTAGAGTTCAATTAGCAATACCATATGTTCTAAGTTTTGACAGCTCATTCGCAACATATGGACCGCGCTTCTTAATGTAAATAAAAGTGAATAATAAAATTGTACAAATTTACTCCGATTTTGAGTTTACGTCATTCTAAAGAAGCACACAAAACATTAATTGAGTGTCATAGTAGTGTTTCTATTGTCGCTCAATATACCCGCTAATGCACATAAGATGAGAATAATGTATTTTGGGTTGCATTTTATCTTTGTAAGAGTTTATCATTGATAACATCAATTTACCTAATATTAATTCAAGAATTTTTAAACTAAGATTTTTATTACTAATAAATACATAGAGCTAAAATTATAATACTTATTTGTAATAATCTAAATTAATACAGTGCCTAAAATTAAGTAAGAGTTTAATTACACGTAACACACGATTTGGCAAGTGCGCAGTCGCGCGCTCGTAGCGCAAATGAATGAAACAAAATTTTGGCAGTGCTTTTAAAGCGAATAAGTCACGCACTCCTCTTAACTATAGTTAGTGGAAAAACAATCACAGACATCTATTAATATAAGAGTATTATATGTATATCATCTGATGGAAGAGTCGATACGTTGGAATCTACAAAATTTTAAACATAAAAAAATATATACAAAAATTTAACAGAAATAAATATGTTTTTTGGAAGTATCAAACAATTCCAACGACATGCATTTGTTAGGAAAGAATCAGCCACACATTATTTTACTTTCACTCGAATATCTTATTTTTTTAAGTCAGTACTGGATTTGACTATGCATTTTCCTCCAATCACAGATTATTCGAACAGATCTTGTTGCGCCCGTTTGCAGGAGACGCAGCAGTGGTTTGTATAGTAGGGGTATTGGCATAGCCGGGCCTGGACCGCCAGGTAGCAGTTCCGGATTCGGTCCACGCAGGAACCTAAAATTTTTGATTCTACAGAAAAAGAAATCATTTTCTTTACTTAAAATTTCTAGTGTCTTTGTTATAATAATGATTACACTTAATTAACTGTAATTATTTTTATAACATTTTTAGCAATTTCTTATTATCTTCAGAGTTCTAAGAAGATAGGATTTTTACCATTTTCTTTATTAATACTAAAAAGAATTTTCTAAATTTTTATACTTACGATCGGTTGGTTCGTCCTGCACCGGCTTATGACGATGCTCCTCAATCCTCGAGCAGGCACACTGTCTTTTTGTCGGCAGGACTTCCCCCTCACACCCATTACTTCCTCTCCCCTGGGCATCCATGCATTTCACCTCGCGTTTCTGCACCCCTGCAGGGCACTCGCATACGCCCCATTCCCCAAAGAACCACATAGGCGGACATGTTCCAGCGCAAGGCTGGTCCATGGGCGGTTTGGTGCCAACAGGACAAGTCATCTCATTAGTGATATGAGCCTGTCCCCGGATTTTCACCACGCAAAAAACGTCTCTCTTCTGCACGAGTGTCCCGAAGCAAGATTTCGGGCAAGGGGACCACGGACCAGTCACCCATTGTCCCCCGCATTGCTTATCGCTGGAACAGGCGCGGGACGTCTCAGGTTTGCTGTGGTCGGAGCAATTAGAATGAGGGCAAAGGGCGAGTCGGGATTGGCTACCAGTCCCGCAGGATTCTGAACAATGTGACCACTCGGTGAGGAGCCAAGGGGAGATTTCAAAGGTCGCGGAACAGGGGCCGTTTTCGCAATATTCGGCGTATTTGGGACGGTCTTCTGGGGGGCACCGGCCGCTGGGGCAGGTCACTGAGCGCGTGCGGTGGCCGGTGCCGCAGGAAACAGAGCACTGCAAAATATTTTTAAATATGTAATTTTTAAAATTCAAAATTTCTAGGGTAGTATTTAAAAAAAAATAGTTTTGATCATTTTAAATGTTTAACACCTAAAGATGTTTAGAACTCCCTCTGAAGGATTTATAATTTTTTTTCTAAGTTTGTAGCATTTCTAAAACTTAAAATAAGTAAACACTTATTTACATTTTTTCCTAAAAAAGTATCTATTGAGTTCAAAAATTGTAAGATAGGTACTTTTAAGTTTCATAACTATATCGTAAGTATATCCTTAGATCTTTAGATACTAGCATTTTTTAAATTCCCATGTTTTCAGATTAAAAAAAATATTAAAAATGTTTAAACCGCTTAATCATTTTTCAATCTTGGGTTATAATTAGCTCTTATGTTGTTAAATTTTTTACATTAGACTTCTTAATTCTTATGATTTTTAAAAAATAGCCAGATTTTAAAATCGATACCTTGAAATTCTCAGTCTTTTAAGTAACATAAATTTGGAAATGTTTTAAGATCTTTTTTGGACTTAATCCTTAAACATATGCATTGCTTACCGACGACCATGCCCCCACTGACCACTCTAGCCTTTCCGGAGTCTGCGGTAGTTCATTATCCCTAATACTCTCACAAGGGTCCATCATACATGGTTTAGCTTGACTGGACGGCTTAGGCCTGGGACAATTCCCATCGTTGGTAACCACCGATCTCCCCGTGCTCAACTCCTGATGACACTGAGGTGCATAATGTTGGACACCTTCCCCGCAGGTGACACTACAAGGACTCCAATGGGCCTCCCACCGTGGAGGACAGTCCTTCAGGTTGCATCTAATGGGTTGCGTCATGGGTTTCTCCAAATGCGCGCATCGCCTTTCCGGAACCGGAGTCTGGGTATGTTCCCGGACGCAGGTAACGACGGTGGCTTGTAAACCCCCACCGCAGGATTTGGAACACGCGGAGACTCCGCTGATTTTCCAGGCGAAGCGTCTCCGAAGTCGAGTCCGGCGGTGGAGAGGACGGGCTTCATCACGTTGGGAGGTTTCAAGACGGCGGGGTTCCGGAATCCCGGAGTCAGGACGTTTGAGGAGAGGTGGGGCTATAAGGGGGGTGGAGGAGTCGATGGGGAGGGAATAACCGTATTTGACACCATGGTTGATTTGGAAATTCACGATCTGAGAGAGGCAACAAAAATAAATAAGTTGAAACGCAAATTCTGGTGTGTGATAAAAAATTTTCTTTCGCAACTCCTTTTTAGATATAGCAATGCAAATTTGCTTCGACCACTTAAAACCTCCGATAATAAACTTATTTATAGTTTTCTAAGTGCTGTGATTCTATTTATACATAGAGAAAAAAGACTCGACCTATGCTAACCCTCTAATAATAATAAAACTTAAATTGACTTGAGCTACTACATCTTAACTTGAACCGGTCATAAACAGACTCATAAATAATAAGTAGAGGCATTAAGAAGACCTTCAACTGAAATCACTTATCATCTTATAAAATAAATGAGCGATTTACCATAATATCCACCGGATTGGCTAAAGGTCCTGGTGATGAGATTGTTTCTAAAGTCGAAACGTCCTGCTTGACGTAAGTAAATCGTGTTCCTGCACCATCAATGACACCAGGATTGTTAATTTTCCAATCGCCATTCACTATGAACGACCCATTGGCATTCCTCAAAGCTATAAAGCAAATCATAGAGAAATAAAACGTCAGGCGGGATAAAGCTACTCGTATCAGTGCTTGCAAATGAATTTATTGTGGACGGACATTTGTTAAATTAAAACAAATTTTCAAGATTTTTGGGATTAATAATTAAATAATTAAAAACACGTTTTTTAACTCACAACAAAATAATATTATTATAAATTAATTTTTTTTTTTTGGAAAAATCCATAAGATTTTGTAAATTCTTAGAGCATTTACCTACATAAAATATTAACAATACATATTTAGAATTTACACGTTTAATTTTTTTAAAGTTACTTAGGTCTTTAGGTCTTTTATTATTTTAAATCCTAATAAAGTGAAAACTCTGATTAATCTTGAAAATTTTCACTGTATGTTTTACAAGCCATAACAGACCTTAAGATTTTTATATTCCAAAGCTGGCCAATTCTTTTAACATTTTTAAAAATAAATCAATATTTTCATTTTTAGTATTTTCAAACAAAAACAAAGATCTAGAGATACTGTTCTCAAATTTAAATGTAGATTCCCAGAATTTTGAATTTAAAGTTTTTCAATTTTTTAATTCATTTTTTCTTTCAAATGTTCATTCAAATCCTTTCATTAAAATGGCTTTTACCCAAATGATTTTTGGTGTGTTTTAATTGCTGGACCAAAATCCTGCATGCTCCTTGTGGAATTTGGGCCACGAGAGAATACCCAGGTGGAAGGTCAACCCTGGTGTAAATTCCGTTGATGCTCCTGCATTTCCCTTTCATACAAGCCGAGCAATCTTCCTGTTCGTCGATAGCCCCAATTATGCCATTGGCACTGACGCTCTGGAACAAGTTAAATAAGATGATTGCGAGTACCTTGGACCGATTGGAAGATCACATTAGATAATCGAATTGTCTGGAAATAAACGACTCAATTTAGGAGCAACTTTTAAATTAGAACGATTTATATGAAGGGGGAGATGTGTGGTCGGTGGGCTAATTAACCTGAACCGGGTTTGAATTTTTCGGTGATTGAAATCAGGGTTGGTGGATAACTAATGTTGAAATGTTGATAACTTGCTTAAGTTTTTGTTAGTGTGAACAAGAAAGTTGATGCCAAAAATGCTATCACAGTTATTATTAAAATTATACAATGTGTAAACGATTCAAATTAATTTTATATTTTATTAAATACAGAATGAGTCAAATAAAATTTGGTTATTTATGAAAATTGTATATTGGGTTGCATTTCAGGTTCGTCAGGATCGTACTCTTAGATGACTTATCCTGCATGTAGAACAAAGTTCATTTTATTAGTGAAAAAATACTTATTGGTATATATAATACATACTGCATATTATATCACAATTTTCCGATTAATAAAATATCCTTGAACAAACCCAACAACTGCATAATGTCAAAAACAATTAATTGCAGTGTAAAATAAACCGCTACACTCCTCCAAGCTGATTTCTGACTTCATACTCGTATCAAGTATTTGCAAAATTAGCAAATTTTAAATCTGTCAAAGTACTTACAAAAGTCGCCAAACTGAAATATTTGTAGCCAAGTCTGATAAATAAATCAATTCCAAGGCTGCGTTATATTTCTACGTCAACGAGTATACTATCGATTGCCAATTTCCAATTGGTTCGAATTTCAATAATTTCGTCCAACAATGCGGAAGCAATTTGTTCAATATCTCTATTAGTCTCAGCGCGACATTAAATTTGTTTAAATCACACACAACTCGATTGACACATCGCCTACAAGGAATCAATATTTCTTAATTAAATACGCGATTTATGAAAATGTAGAAGCAAGTAGGTCGAAATTTATGACTGAGTCAATCATCCAAGTTGATCGCCTTTCTCCACGAAATAATTCCTGAAAAATATGCTAATTTCAGGGCGGTACGGATAAATCGATTCGATGGTGTCGAGATAAGATTTGGGACGGGTCAGACAGGACGAATATAATGAAGGTATTATTATAGTTCGCACGGCCGTGAAAAATCTAAAGCATTGTGTTTATACTTCCGACAAGGAGAAAACCGCCAAAATCTGCGTTTGCAATTAGTTGTGACGGGCTTTTAATACCCGGAAAAATTCATCTGTCAGATAAACTAAACTGTAAAGTCGCACCACAATTGGTAAGAAAATTAAAAAAAACTTTGTTCCACTCATATGGTTTCCCCATAAAAGTTCTCCCGTGTCAAAGCTCGAGCTTTGTGCTCGTTTCCGCTAGAATTTTTCGCCGCTTCATATGACATCCGGCCATTCTCGTCTAATATTTACATGCGAATTGTGGGTGGACAAATAATTTTCGAAAATGGGTTAGATAACTGAAATTGTAGGTAATGTCTTTATTTTGACACATTTTAGAGCACAACTAATGGTAGCTATGCTCCACTTAAAATGGGTAAATTATTCGTCTGTTAATAAAAACATTGTAAATCTTTTCCACGACTTGCTGAATTTATTTTAGAATCCTGAAATATACAAAGCTTGTTTTCTATTTAATAAACACCGGAAAACATTGAATGAATGGAAAACTATTTCTAGTTTTTTCGGCCTGTAATAAATTTGAAACGTTATCCTCTTTAGGGGACAAATCTACCTTTTTGTAATGTTAATTGGAACCGGAGGCTTACACGAAACGTCTTTATCGCTCCGATTAAGCTCGGATTTAAACCATTGTGGAACACCTAATTAGATCCAACATGTGTGCTTCCACCGGTTATAGGTTTATTTAATTGTCACTCTTTTACACAAGGATTACAGTTATTTTGTATCAAGCAATTCGAGTTTTTATGCGTGGCGATGATTCCCATGCTCTAATATTTTTATTTTATCAACACATGGCCACTGAAAAAAAAAACATTTCATCTCACTCGACTCAGCAGCTATTCGAAATGAGGAAGTTTTAGCAAAGTTTGGGCAATATTTTTGTCGTTTAGCGAAAAAATTAATGGGCTGAAATAAATTACTGAAATGTCAGGACTGATACCAGTTGAATTAAATAATAACGCAGAGGCCAATAAATCACTTGTATTACTTTCGTGACGCTTGATTCTGCCAACATTTTTATTTATTTATTTACTTAACGAAGTCGTTGCACTAGTTCATTATCTAGGATTTGTAGCACCGCGTGCTGTGGGAAAATATTGCCCAATTTGATAAGGACGAGGGCACGAAACAAGAGTGATTTAACGAACTCTCGATTAAAGTCGGATACCTTATTTCATGACGGTTTGAGTCAAAAGCAGATCTAAAAAGTTGCCCTCACAATTTAAAATTTTCTTCCTTGTACGTACGAAGAATTTACAGATCAATTTAGTTACTAATAAGAAACTAACAAGAAGCTAACAAATAATAGCAAAAACTAACAACATATTTAAAAATATGACACAAATCTAAGACCTTTTGCTTCGTGATGTTTTAATCTGTATAAAATATTAACAGACCAACCGTTTAAAAAATAATTTGTATAAATTTTTATCTTCATTTTCCATTTTTACTACTCGTACATATTTAGCTTAAAAAGTACCATATTTCTTTTATAAATAAAAATCAAAGTGATAGTAATGTTCTTTTGCTCCATTTTACTTTCATAAAAAAGGTTTTAACTTGTTTTTTCCCTCAAATTTCAGGGAGTTGTTTCCAATTTTTAGAAAAGACAATTTTAAATTATTAAAAAAAAATCATTTTTTAAGTTTTACCAAATAAGGAAGCATCATCCCGATTGCTTAACCTTTTAAGTTCAAGACTCAGCTGTTAATCGGAATTAAAAAAAAATCCCGATCGGTTCTTTGAAATGGGTCAAAAGCCAGGCAAATTTGGTAAAGATTACAAGTCATTTACGACCGCTAATGAAAACAATTTCTAATAACAAGTCAATAAATTAATGCATTTTATGCACGACTGCTTATCGCTATATATTCTTCATTCGAAAAAATCCAACGTTCAAATTGCCACTCAATTAATTCAATAAACAGATTTTATTGACGTTAATGATACGATTTATCTACCACCCAGCACGAGAGGTCTTTGAGTAATTTTTGGTTAAACCTTGTTTTAGCTAACGTAATGAAGTAACAGCGATTCCTTGTGGCAAGTTTCAATAAAAAAATTGCCACTCCTTAAAAGTAATGACAAGCGAGTGTTGATATTTCAGTAATTCCAGCAGTAAACAGGTCTTAAAACGCAACAAAGTCGCCATAATCGCCCGATTCAAATTCGACTCACTATAAAAAATGATTTGTGCATCTTATGCAATCAATTTAATAACTCGATGACTTAATAATAATAATCCCCAGGCAATGTTTTAAGGATTTTAACAGGATAATTACAGAGTGGTTATCGAGTTTGTTTAGCAATTTAAATTCGTGGTGAATTCTCCCGACTACTGGAAATAATAGTCGCATGCTCTGTTTCAAATTAGAACAATTTTTTCCTTCTGAAATGCAGTTAGACACTTTAAAATACTCACCAAATACAGAAAGATGCAAGCAATCGAATTCAACAACCACATGGTAATTAAATTAAATTAGCGCGAAACGTCCAATTAATTTTATGGTCTTATCGTCGGTCACTTAAACACTCAACATGATGGCAATTCACTCCGATCAATGAAAAATGTTTCTAGAAGGTAATTAATGATGAAAAATAGGTTGAAGCAAAGTTTGGAATTTATTTTAGGATAAAACTCCCGAGGGAACACTTCGGAACAGGTGTGTCCCTAAATCCTGAATTTTTTGGTCTCCGAAGGGTAGTTGAACTAAAATAAAACACAAGATAAGAAGTTTAGTTTAATTATTCTAATAAATGCGCAAAGGAACGATTAATTTTTTAATTTTGTCTAATTGCAGATTAATTACAGTGATAAATCGGAAAATGCAAATGTATTCATAAATGTTAATTCCAATTAAGTAATAATTGGGAAATATAATTTATGATGTAAAATATGTTTCAATTTTTCACTTCGACAGTGGAAGTTAAGAAAATTGTAAAAAAAAGGAATCAAAGTTAATTTAAGAGTTTATTTATGTTCGCGTAAATCTATTTTTAAAATTATCTACTCAAAAACTGAATTTAATCGAAAAAATCAGTGCAGAGTTGCGGAAGCGCCTCACGTACATTTTTCCGCTTTTAAAAATGTCGCAATTTCGTGGCTTTGAAAATATCTAATTAAATTACACTATCATAAATTATTTGCCGCATAGTTTGGTAGTTTGTTGAACTCCAATCGCTATTATCCGCGACAACAAATATTTTTCCTGTGAAAAAAATTTCAATGTCAAATAATTCATAAAATATGCTAAAATGAAAACACGCATCAAAAATTTCCCAATGAAACCCAACACCCATCTAAAAATTTTCACGAAATAGCTTTATTAATGTAAATTCGTTTCGCAATCAGATAAATATTTATGAGTTTGGTGTTTATCTCGCGACATATTCTCACTTGACATTTCCAAATTCACGAATCAATAACCCGACCTATCCCAACCTGAACTTTACTTTGATATTTCAATAAACAGAGCAACGCATTACAATTTTTGGGATGCTGCGAATTGCCACCACTCGCGCACAATTCACGTCTTCCTGCAATCGAACGAAGCACAAAACTGACACCAACACGCGCTCCAAGAAGCGAAGCTCTCTGCTTCGACGTGCTTCGCTCTGCTTCCCTAATTTATAGCGTGTTTACCTACGCACATCTTCAGAAAATTGGCATTTTTCGTGATCGGAGCCGACCCACGCTTATTGTGCTTATTGCTATTGGGGGGTTTTCAGGGAAAAGTTACTCGGGCTTTGTTACTCCAGAGCCGGGATACAATG